AACGGCATAAAAATGACCAACCACCTTCCGCCACGTGTCCCCCCTGTTTGAGACTGCTTGCGCGCGCTGAGTCTCCGCCCCGGCCAGGTTCTGATTTCGGTCAACTTCCTAACTGGCCGTCCGGTTCAAGTTGCGCTCCGTTCGACTCGTCCAGTGCCAAAAGAGAGCTGCCAGCTTTCGGCAGTTGCGCTTCGTTGCGCTTCGTAGCAGGGTGGCCACGTAAGTCTGCCTGTCCTGCAAGCAAGACTGAGCTCAAGCTACATAATACAGACTCGTCAGGACGGCCAGGCTACGTGGCGCAGAATTTCAGGGTATAAAAGCAAGGCCACTATGGCGTCCCCCTCATTCCAAGCAACCGCAGTAGCCACCAAGCACCATCCTCTCCACTCTAGCTTTGCACTACATAAAAGCACCAGCTCGATGTGCACCTTAGAAGACCGCGACAGGCTGCCTGATCTGCCACCTCACACAATAGCTCAGGGACTGCAGGCTGAGCTGGCCAGATGGTGCCAGAGGGCAGCTCCAACATGGCCCAGCAATTGCGAGCAGGGGCAGAATGCAGAGGGTGCTGGCTATAGCTGCTGGCGTTTACTTATAGGCTGCCAGCTGTCTTCTAATCCAAGCTTCAGAGCAGTCAATGTCAAGCAGTCAGCAGCTTGCAGCTTGGGAGCGCCTTCATTACTGAGGCATGAGACAGCTGGCAGCAAAGTACCACTGAATGACGTCGCAGATTGGAGCTGCTAGCATGGCGTCCGACCTGCGTCTCCACTGGGAGAGGTAAGCGCTATCATGGACTGATTGCACTAGCATGAGGCAAGGGAGTGCTGTTGCACAGATGATCCCTGCTCTTGAATTTGGTCTACTTTTTGTCTCTTCTTTATTAGAGTTGATTTTGCAAAAGGTAGACAGGGCTGTGGCGGAGGTTTAGGGCAAGGCCGGCCCACATAGTGCATTGGGACTGTAGCAAATCAGAGCCCTGTTAATAGCTGTTAGGGGAGAGCATGGCATACATTGTTTTATCCTCGTACGGTTGTCTCTGAGATGGCTGAATGTTGTGAGGACTTGACAATCGCTGGGCTGCTTTCTTGTGAATTGTTTCCATGTGAAGCTGAACTGCTTTCCAAACTCTCTTCCTTTCAGTGACTCGTCATCCTCTGAAGGATCAGAAGAGTACATTGAAGGTGTTGAGTATGCATCTCGGTCCGTCGATGGTTCAGACTCTGGACGCTCCCTGGCGGACTTCCTCAGAGATGGAGACTCTGCCAGCAGCGAAAGCCCGTCGTTCTACAGAGCGATCGACAATGAGAAGAGTCTCAGCCCGCTCCATCTGCCAAGAGGTCTCGCCGGTGTTGTGAGCAAGAAGAGGCCCACTTTGGTTGAGCTTGCTCTACCTGGTTTCTGATTCCCTTTGTTACAGTGCCCGCCTCTTCTCCTAAAGTGGACTTGTAGTTCCTGCTTGCAAAGTCGAGCCTCTTGGATCTGTTTGATAGCTGGGTTGCAGATCGCGCAACCCCCATGAATCATTTCAAAGGTGCTCTCTGGCGCAGACCTGCTTGTAGCACCTCAATCCAGCTGATCAATTGATCAATAGTGTCACTAAAAGTACCACTCAAACGGGGTCCTGAGTTGTCCTTGAATCATGAGTTGCTCAGCACGACCATGTGCGCTGTGCAGGTTCATCTGCCTACTTCTCCATTCGCTTGGTCCTTCGGAAGCGGCTTCAGAAAACGAATGTGCTTTACGCCACCAGACAACCCCCAGGTGAGAGAAGCTAGTACAAATCCTGCGTGACTTGTGATCTAGATACATGGTACTTCACAAATAATCACTCAGTCTTCAGCGCAAAACAGTCGGGTGATATTTCCGCCTTGCCATTGGAAATTTAGCAGATCCAGTCCACTCAAGTACATGCAGACAACCTTCACCCAGATGTCTGCGTTGCCTGCACCCTCTTCGAGATCTCATTTCCGCTCTCTGCGTTCCCAGGCGTCCCCGCGTTGCTGCATCCCAGCTGCTTGTCAGCACCGTGCGGGCAAGATGGTCACAGTTGGTGAGGACCTTCATTCGCCTGTACGGAAGCGAGTGGGGCTTGGAAGGAAGCGCCGGCGGGTCATCCTCTCGCAAGAGTCAGAAGAGGAGCAGCACACGCCCCCGCTCTCACTTTCCAAGGTGGGTCATACAAGCTTGGCACAGCGTATCCTGTCTAGGTTTTGCATATGGAATGCATATATTGAACAGACAGAACCTAGACAGAGGCTGGAGCTCAAACACAGAGGCACCGCTGTTCTTCTCCTGTGTCCATCTCCTGCGACTGCAAGCTCATCACCTGGAGTCGACTCAAGTGCAAGATGCCCTAGTACTCAAACAGTCATCTGCACCGCTTGCCTCGAATCTTGACGTTCAAATTGTGGAAAGGCTGGCACTTGACAGCCACTCGAACTGTTGCAGGTGAGAACAGCTCACCGAGAGGTAGCGCGCAGGGTCCTGGATGCAGCCAAGAGAAGGGCCGTGAAGAAGAGCAAGCCCAGGTACAACACCTGACTACTAGACCGGTTCTAGACTACTAATCAGTAGTCGTCGAAAGTCAGATCGGAGGCAGACTTTCAAGCTGTGAGCAGCTTAGTGCAATTCACAAAAAGTAAGGAGCAAGGGACTCCTAAATAGACGCCCAAGCCACACCACGAGATTCACAAGCGGAGGGCTATACGCGTAAGCAAAGGCTTGCCAGAACGTGTAGAGTAAGTTCCTCTTGCAGATTCAACGTTCATTCGTCCTTTGGTTTTCGTCGCACATGGTTGAATCTCTTCCATCTTGACATATTAACTTGCATGGGGTTGTGTGTCACTGACATAAGCGATTGTGTATTGCTACGACATCGAGTCGTTGAGTCGAGCATTATGTGACCTGAGCGCTACCGTTTAGACAGATGGATGCCATGAGCTCTACCGCACGCAAAAGGAAAGATATGTGCCATGCAATTGTCAGCAGGCTGAACCAATGCTATTTACTCGAACCACACACAATCTCTTCCATGTGAAAATCTGACGCATTCACACAGCATCGCCTCATCCGGATCTGAACACCTGAACATGAACAATGTCGCTTGATGACTTTTCGTGATCCTCTCCTAAGATGAATCAGAATATGGTCTGATGGCTCCTCTTTTTCCGAGGAGAAGGTCCCCACGTCTTCTTCGCTGATGATCTACAGTCCTATCATGAAACGCATCCATGCTGTCTTCAGGGGCCAACCTCCTCGACATCCAATCCGGCGATCTCTCTGCCCTCAAGGGCGGCCCCCAGTGCCTGTATCGTCCCGTCCGGTTCCGACTGCGGGTCTTCGTTCTCTGCCATGCTTCTTGCTTGATGGAGCGCTACTGACGCTGCCCGAGCTTCTTCGATGCTTTTGCACGGGGTCTGGATAGTGTTTTTCAGCCTCAGCCATGCCATCTCGATGGATGCGGGAAAAGCGCTCTGGTTCCCGGACAAGAAGTCCTCAGTGAGTCCGATCCAGTGCCTAACGAGGCCGACCACTAAGGGGGGGGGGAGCTCAAAGGACACGAAGCAGCACTCTTGCCCCTTCATCCTGACGGACTCTTGCATTATGGCGAACGCCACGTACATCTTCGTGCTGTAATCCCCAGCGATGGCCAAGGGGGGTACTGGTGATGCTGGCAGCCCGACGATGTACTGAATTTTCACCTGCGAGCAACAGAAATGTTGTCACTAATATGTGGATTGAAGATTCAGACACTTGCTGTAACATGAGATAACCAAGTCGTGCTGCTTCAGATCTGGGGAGAAGACATCGGTGACGAAGCACAGTTGCTGAAACCACTTCCAGGCGGCAGAATCGACAAGGAGATCCCCGAAAGCACTGGTCTCAGAATCTGCAAGCAGCATCTTCGCGGCTGAGCAGGTGATCACTTCTATGGAGCTGCAGTGCGCTTGTTGCCTTAATATGCGCAGACTCCGCATGCTGTCAAAGCATGTCTCCGTCCGGTTTTGGGAGCTACGAAAGAATATGGCTGCCAAAAACTTATCCACCCCCTCTCCAAACGCGTAAAGATCCGTTTTTTCTTCCTGAAGCCTACCTGCCCATGTAGGTCCTCGACCTTCTTCTCGTCCTCCATTGCGTCCGTAGGCTTTACTTCGAACATGACGGGAGTCGTCTCAGCCAGCCTGTCCGGGTCAGCGGAAGGACCTCCTACCCGGATATCAGTCAGCGCAGCGGCATAGGAAGCATGTGGCCTCGTGTCCAGCAGACACGCCATAAGATTCTTGGTCCCGTTGGCCTTGTAGGCCTTCAGAGCCTGCAGATTTGAAACAAGATAAGCCCTCAGTATCTTTAGGAGATTCAAGCCAATCAAGCGTACTTGCGCAAAACAGCGGCAACCAAGTGCAGGGTGCAAGGCCGCACGATGGACGCGCGGGGGCGCGCGCGGAGACTGCTGACGTCAGCGTCAGGCACGGGCGGGGGTGGGAGGACTGGCAACAAGAGCTTGTCAAGAAAGAACGCAGCTGCGAAAAACTGCGAAAACGTCAGCGCAAGCGAGAGAAGTGGATTTGCTGGCGTCAGCGCAGGTAAGAGAAGGGAATTGCTGACGTCAGCGCAGGCGAGAGGATTGAAGTTGCTGACATCAACGGAGGCGATAAAGCGAACCTGCTGAGGTCAGCGCAGGCGAGAGAAGTGAATATGACAATGTCAGCGCAGGCGAGAGAAGCAGAAGTGCTGAGGTCAGCGCAGGCGAGAGAAGAGGAATGAAAGCAGGAGGCGCAAAGGGAAGCTTGGGCGACGGAAGAGAGGGAGGAGACTTTGCAGACGGAGCTCGCGAAGGAGCGGCGGGAGAGGGGGAAAGAGGCACGCGCCCATGGGAAGCAGGTAAGGATCGGTCTCTCCTCTTCTCTTGCAGGACAAATAGATTCCTAAAATGAGTTCCCACACGTCTTTAGAGTCACCAGCTCTTGACTTGCTACCTCTGGGATCAGACTCGACAGCATGGATGCTTTTGAGAGAATGAGAGCACATGAAGTAAGCGGCTCTGAGAAACAGTAGTTCGTCTTTCTGCATGCATTTAGAGGCACGTGAAGCAGAATCACGTACAGCAGAGGCGCATCTTCAAAAGTTTTGCGTCTTCTCATATCACGGGCTGTCATACCGGCTCTCAACCTGATCATCTTGGCAAAGGACATTGAAATCAGAAGCCAACAGACGCTGACAAGCGGTTGCTTTCTGATGTGTGCGCAGCTACGAGCTCTGACGATAGAGTCACGTGCAGCGGAGGCGCACCTCCAAGTACATTTAGCGAGCGACCTTTTGCCGCTGTTCATATTGAGCTACACGCACTCATACCAACAGCTCTTGACTTGCAACCTGGGAAAAAAGGGCGTCCGAACTGAAAGCACCTAAGAAGCTTTCAAGTGCTGCTCAGCTCTAGCAGCTAAACCAGGCTCACGTGAGACACCTTGCTCGACATACAAATGCAGATTAAGCCAAAGGGTGGCAAAATCTTCCTGCTTGCCTGACTAACCTTGTTGCCCGCATTCTCAAGGAGGCCTATGATCGTGTCATACGAATGGACCTCCTTTCCCCGTATCTCCTTTCCGCCCTCTCCTAGCTCCTCCATGTCCCACTTCAGCTGCTCCATCAGCAGTGTGAAGTAGGCACGGTCCCACATCTTGATATATGTGCATCCAAGCTGAGAAAGAAGAGCCGACGCTGACCCATGTGCCGTCTTCGAGGCGATGTATACACAGATGGTGTCCCGTACCCCTGTGAAATAGTTGCATCCTTTGGCGGAAAGCAAAAAGCCATGGGAGAGCAAAGGACAAGAGCAACATCGTGCGAGCTGCTTTATGCTTTTGACAGAGCGGGTTGTCTAAACCAGGCACCATGAAATTCTCCTTTACACGCACTTAAGCCGCAAATCAATCCTTGTCAAGCTGGCAATAAGAGTATCTGACGGCAGGCTTCTGAAAGCACCTGCTTCAAGGTGCGACCAACCACTTTTTAAGAAGCCATACATCGCAGAATCACACCTGCCAAGCATGGAGGATCCATCAGAGAACAATTTTGTGCCATTGAGTCTGTTCAAACACAGGATGACTCACTATTGCAAGAATAAGAATTAGACAAGAAAAGCCTAACCTGAACTACTTGTGAATTTGAGGAGCGTTGGCACGCCCTCGACCGGAGCATCTGTACGGGTATCCTGCAGCTGCTTGGACAGCGGAGAAGATGGTTCCTGAGGAACAAGAGGCAGCCGTAGTGCGCCGCTGTGCTGAGCCGTTGCATCAGACTGCGCGTCCGTACTGCCATGCACAGCTCCGCTTCGCACCCCTAGCTTAGCGGATCGTCTCGAGTGTCGCTCTTCTTCTTCTCGAAGTTCCTCTAGTGTGGACTTCCCCTTCAGGTCTCCGCTGTCAACAGCAGCAATCAAGCCTGCCATCGAGGGTACCTGCAACAAGGAAAACATTCTGCCTGCATCAGAAGCTCACAGTCAATGCTTCAGAGGGCCCAAGTACAACATATGAAAAGCCTGCGAAATCCCTGAGACAATAACTCACTACTTTACTTAACAAACAACTACGAGTCCCTCAATGAAGCTGCTCATCAGCACTAACGCTGGGGAAGTCTCGACACTTGCCTTTTTCAACCAGAACAGTCTACTTCTGCACCGTCTCAGTGGCCTCAGCAAAAGAACCTCTAGCCGAATCATTGCAATGCACTTCAGAAGCACAACTCGAATCATGCAAGAGAGTATCTTGCTCAGCTCTTGATCGGCCATGTCTCTGTCCCCCCAATCATGCCTTGGTTAAGCTGTTGTCTGCAACCCGCCAACTAGTACAGCGTTGCACAACAAGCGTGGGGATGCAACGACTTGGATTGTTCAAAAACAAGGAGGGTTCATGTGACTCACTTTCAAAGAGTAGGCCGTGCTGTAAAGCGCGTCCAGCTGGGGGCTGCTCAGATTCTTCCCTTTCACGCAAGTCAGCATAGCCTCAGCTTCGTCCCACTGCTTCATGCAGAGATTAACGATAGGCAGCAGGTCCGCAGGAATGGGATCTTCGACCAAAATCCAGAGGTCGTCTGGTCTCATTCTGGTAGTCCTCTTCTGCACGGAGGAAAGATTGCCAGCCGCTGACTTCCACACAGTAGAGAACTCAACAAGCTGACGGGCCTGTGACAAACGACACGTCAAATCATCAGGCAACAGATGTACGACCTCAGCTTCTCACCACAGGAACCTAGATCGACACATCACTTGATGCTAGCAGAGAGGCACTCATCTGCCACTAGAAGAGTACTCTTTCCTGTGAAGCTTCATATGTCAAAAGCAGTGACTCATCAAGACGGATGCTCACGTCAATTCTCACAATACTTCTTTGTCAGACATCCAGCAATTACTACGTCTCTGGACTCCTTTCGCAACAATTCCCGCCTCGCCACCAAGAGATGCACCCCTCCAGGCAGTTCCCACACATGATAAGAACACCTCAGAGAAGCAGCTTGAGTTGCTTTCTTAACAGACAAAGAAGACCCCTGAAGGGAAACACTTACCTCCTGAGGTATGTCACAGAACGACAGGATGCGTAGCTCATTCCGAGTCTTGTCCGGCAGCGCTGCAAAAGGAAGAAAGAAACCAATGTTAACAGGAAGCCTGGACCAAAAGAGGCCAACTTCCGGCTGCTGTTAGTGAGCACTTGCTCTGCCCTCTTGTTATCAGGATTACTTTGGTCTATGAGGATGTAACGACAATGGCTTGTTACCAATCTCTGAGCCTCTTTAAAGCAAGGTGAAAGAAAGGTGGCAGACAGGGTGTGCTCAAATGCTCACCATCCAACGCCCCCCGTGGCCACAACTGCACCACCAGCTTGTCCTCCTCGGTCCGCAGAAGAACTTTCAGTCTCGCATACATCTTCCAATCCTCGCTTTCCTTTTCTGGCAGCGCCTTGCCCTTTCCACTCAGATCATCGACCCCCAACCCCATCTCCGCGATCGCTTTAGTGACGTCCTCAAGCAGATTTTCTGACTGAATCCTAACACGTTTTCCTCTCCATAAGGTCCACATGCTTCTCAGATGGTCGCTTAAACGTCACCGTATCCCATGTTGGTTGCATCTTCTACAAGGGGACTCCCTCTCATGGAAACTAGCCAGCAGCCAATGGCAAAAGAAGCCCTACTACGTTGCACGACGAAGCTAGGGTTTGCGAAGGCTGAGGAACTGTATCGACCGGCGGGGCCAACTGACAGGTGAATGGCATAAAAACGACCAACCGCAAAGAGCCACGTGTCCCCCCTGTTCGGTCGGCTTGCGCCGCGCTGAGTCTCCGGTCGTCTTCCCCCGGCCAGGTTCCGAATCCGGTCAACTTTCATAATCGACCGTCCGGTTCGAGTTGCGCTCCGTCCGACTCGTCCAGTGCCCATGACGAGCTGCCGCAGTACTTTTTGGCAGTGGAGCTGCTTTTCGGCAGTTGACCACGTAAGTCTGCCTGTCCTGCAAGACTGCAAGACTGAGCTCAGCAAAGGTACACTTGTCCGGACGGACAGGCTACGTGGCGCAGACTGTCAGGGGATAAAAGCAAGGTCACCATGGCGTCCCCCTCATTCCAAGCAAGCGCAGTTGCCAGCAAGCACCATTCTCTCCACTCTAGCTCTGCACTACACAGAAGCACCAGCTCGCTGTGCACCTTAGAAAACCGCGACAGGCTGCCTGATCTGCCACCTCATGCGGTAGCTCAGGGACTGCAGGCTGAGCTGGCCAGACGGTGCCAGAGGGCAGCTCCAACATGGTCCAGCAATTACGAGCAGCTGCAGAATGCAGGGCGTGCTGGCTATAGCTGCTGGCGTCCAATTTTATACCAAATCCAAGCTACAGAGTAGTCAATGTCAAGCGTGCAGCAGCTTGCAGCTTGGGAGCTCCTTCCTTCATCACTCAGGCATCAGACAGCTGGCAGTAAAGCACCACTAAGTGACACTGCAGATTGGAGTTGCTGGCATGGCGTCCGACCTGCGCTCTGGCGTCCGAGAATTCGAACAGAATGCACAGAGGTAAGCGCTCTTATGAACTGAGTGCACCAAGCATGAGGCAAGGGAGGGCTGAAAGTTAAGGCAAGGAAGTCGCTTTTCACTCGAGATCAGATGGCGACTTTTTACTGCGGCTCTGAGCTGGGCTGCTTTTTATGAATAGCTCCTTGTGAAGCTGACTTGCACCTCAATATCTCTCCTTTTCAGTGGCTCGTCATCTTCTGAAGGATCAGGAGAGGACATCGAAGGTGTTGAGTATGCCCCTCGCTCTGCGGACGATTCAGATTCTGGACGCTCCCTGGAAGACTTCGTCAGCGATGGAGACTCTGCCAGCAGTCACAGCCAGTCGTTCTACAGAGCGATCAACAACGAGAAGAGTCAGAGTCCGCTTCATCTTCCAAGAGGTCTCGCCAGTGTTGTGAACAAGGCGTCGGTGAGCTTGCACTGTCTGATCTCCTACCTACCTTTATCACAGTGCCCGCCTCTTCTATTTGGGACGACTTTCATGCTGCTTGCGACGCCAAGCCTCTTTGGATCCATTTGATAGTTGGGTCGCAGATCGCGCAGATCCCATGAATTATTCGGACAGTGCTTTCTGGCAGGGAACCTGCTTGTAGAACCTTCTTTCAACCGGTCAGCCAATCCGTTGTGGTGGCAACACAATCACAACTCATATCAAATCGAGGACCACGAAATGTTGCGCAGGGGCATGTGCCTACTCCTCCATTTGCTCGGGGCAGCAGCCCCAGGAAGGGGACCTGCTTACCACTACCAGAGGTGAGAGAACAAGCTACTACAGATTCTGGGTGACTTGTGATCGACGCGTATGGTACTTTGCAACTGACCCTCGAGTGCAAAGAAGTTACCAGTGATACCACCGCCCTGCCATTGGAAGCTCAGTGAGAACAAGCAACTGAAGTGCGCTTTGGATGCAGACAAAATCGACTCAGCCCACACCCTTTTCGAGATCTAATTTGATCCTCTTTGCGTTCCCAGGCATTTCCGCGTTGCCGCCTCCCAGCTGGTCCTCAAAGCCGTGCGAGCAAGAGGGCTTCAGTCGAAACCTCAGTTGGCGAGCCTGACCTTTCTTCGCCAGTGCGGAAGCGAGGGCGGCTTGGAAGAGAGCGTCGGCGGGCCATCCTCTCGCAAGAGTCAGCAGAAGAGCAGCACCTGCCCCAGCTGCTATCTTTTGAGGTGGGTCGCAAACTTCCACCGCCTTCCTAGTCTACATTCTGCATGAAGTCCGGTCTCGATTTTGCACGTTCAGGACAGAGCTCTGTCTGTTGTGTCTGCCTTCTCGCGCGTGCAAACTTATGAATTTGAGTCTTGCAAGACGCTCTAGTAACCAGCGGTTGTTGAGATCTCTCGCGCGGACTTGTCGTCCGATCTGTGGGGAAGACTATCATCAACAATCACTCGATTCTTCCTGATGCAGGCAGAGAAAAGCCCACGAAGCGGTCTTGGATGCAACCAGGAGAAGGGCGGGGATGAAGATCAGCAGGCCCAGGTACAGCGTTTGTGATTCAAGGACGGTTCTAGATCAGGGCGCAGACCAGTTGAGTAGAATCCACTATCTAGGTAGCAAAAAGTGGACATCAGTCTTAGTAGCCACTTGTGATAGGGACCAGTTGCTGGCGCGTTTTCTGATGTAAGAGACCCATACATCAAGCATGTCACAATGATCTTTTGGTCCACCCCCCCTTCTCTGCCAATCCTCACTGTGTCGCACTTCGCATGAGGCTCTTCCAAGCTGAGCGTGTGGTTTGAGCTGCTTCCACCGCTTTCAAAGTCAGTCAACCCCCTTTCCCAAGGAGCGTTCACATGCATCTATTGCGGTCTAGCATGAAGAGGAACAACGGCTGCATAAGAGGTCACAGCCGCCATTTGCTAAAATGATCTGCAATTGACTTGCGACCTTGTAATCCCCAGGTCATGCTCCCCAGTCGGACTTTGGACAGTGGCCTGTCGGACGCTGACCTTGAAGACCGCCTCCGGGTGGCTGGGCGGTGTGAGGAAGCGCACAACAAAGCTGTTGCGCTGCCTTCCACTCTGTACGCCTGTCCAAAGCCCACGGTGTCCGCAGTTGCCTCAACAAACGGAGGGGAAGTCCTGCGCCAGGTGGGTTTGCTTGCAACGTTAGCAGTGCCCCAGTCAAGTTTAGAAGTCGCCTTTCTGACTGAGTTGCTCGATCTCATCTAGCAGCGTCACGGCCCCTCCCAAGACCCTGCGCACCTTGTCGGCCCCTGCCCTCTTGAAGGCACGTGCCTTGTTGCCAGGCAGGAGGAAAAAGCAATCTCGATTAGTGTAGCAGCGTCTGCCACTGGGGTTTCCCTCCAAGAGTTGTTTGTTTGGAGTTTTGAGACTTTTACACCTGATGTGCAAAATTCTGGGAATTGCTGGATCAGCCGTTGGTCGAATCCAACCTGTCATGTTGTCACCCTTCACATACCCTCCAATCCCCAAATGCAGGTCGCCGTTGACCCCGTTCACTCTGCGTGCGACACCCTCCGAGCGACTTCCTGCGCAGACAACCATCGGACCACCAATCTGCCTGTCGTTGAAGACGCGCTCACGGACAACGCAAGCAGTCAGCCGACCGAGTGCTTTGCAGCCCTCAGCGAAGAATGCGAGGCGCCAGCAAAAGTTAACTCCGCCGCATCCATGAACCTGGCGGTAAGGGCTCATGCGCCCCTTGTCCAAGTTGTCCAAGATTTTTAGAGACTTTTTGGACGGCCAGCTCTGATGACGTCAGCAGCCGTACAGCCACCCCGATTCGGATTGAAGTTGTCCAAGTTGTCCAAGAATTTTGACGACTTTCTGGGGGGCCAAGCTCTGATGACGTCAGCAGCCCTACAGCCACCCCGTTACGGATTCGAGTTGTCCAAGTTGTCCAAGATTTTGAGCGACTTTCTGGGGGGCCAGCTCTGATGACGTCAGCAGACGGTTCTTGTCCCAGGTGTCTTAGTTTTTCTAGCGTCCACTTTTGTCACGGGACCCTGGCCAAGATGGGTCATGGTTTTGTCCCTTTTTGCCACAAAAATGTCCCCTTTAAGAAACGATGATGACGGATTTCCACACGGTCAACTACAATTGCATCTTTCACTCGGAATGGTGATTGCTGACGTCATCATTCGTGTTCTTCGAAAAAGTTGTTCAAGAACTTGGACACTTTGGACAACTACATCTTCTTGGGATGGCTTTTGCTGACGTCATCGTTCGTGTCCCTCAGAAAGGTTACCCAAAGTTTTGGACACCTTGGACAGTCCTGGGTCTGGTGCCATCGACTATGAATACATTCTACCCGGGAATGGTCGGACGAATCGGGCAGGCTCACTTAAAACGCGCGCTCTCAACCGCAAGCGTTCCACGAGATCAGCAGGTGTCCTACTTTTCCGAACTTGGGAAACATTCCCCCTTTGCAATACACTGATATCGTCTTGTGTGCCTGTCTCCCCCGCAGGATGCCGCGCCCTGTGCCGCGCAGGTTGGGGCAACGCCCTGTCTGGACCCCATCCTCGCCGCTGCGCATCACTTTCACTCGTTGGGAGTCGTGACCGTCACCCTCGACCTTGATGAGGAGTGCAACCGCGCTGGCGAGGTCAAGAAGTCCGCAAAGCGCTTGGGGGCCTGGAGCCAGGCCAACTACGGCAACTGCCTGAGCGAGGAGTTTGCCAAACCCGGCCGAAACTCCATTGCCATCGTCACGGAGGCGTCCGACATCTTTGCAGTCGACGTCGATGTGAAGGACGGGGGTTTCAAAGCTCTCGAACGAATGCTCGAAGAGCATGGGGGTTTTGTAGACGATACGCCCCGCGTGACGACCGGGAACGGGGGGCTGCACATCCTCTTTTCTCTGTCCAAGTCCGAGAAGGCCGGTCTGCGGAACAGCAGAAACCGGGCCCGGATTTGGTACAAGGGAGAAAGGGTAGGCATCGACATCCGCGGCAGAGGGGGGATGCTGTACACTGCACCCAGCCGCTACCAAGGCCTCGACGGCGAGCTCCGGCGCTACGAGTGGGACCACGAGATCCACCCCAACCGCTCTAATCTCAGGGCAATTCCGGATTGGCTGATAGCCATTCTGAATGTGGACCAACCGGGCACTGCCAATGGGGCCCGTTCCAGAACTAGGTAAGTCTGGTGCCAACTTGCTGCAATCGCTCCCCGAGTGGCTGATCTCGGTCATCCACAGCCCGGAGTTTGAGCAGCACCGATTAAGCGCTCTGTCTGGTCCGACTTCACATTTTAACGGTTGATTCATGCTTGCGCTCAGGATGCAATGTTCATCTCTCCGTTGAGTGCGCAATCGAAGCTGTGCCAGAGATGCTGCTTACACAAACAACTGTATTAAAAGAAGTTAGTTGATTGACAAAGGTGCACGTGTTGCCCATAGTCCGAGCACTGGTGCTTTCTGCTCTGACAGAATCTGAGAGAACCTGGGCTCGTCTTTGGTGCTTCTCGTTGAGCCACCGTGCTGACGAAATCGAGGATTCTCTGCAGATTGCCAGCCCCGGTGCCGTGCCGCTCCACTCGCTCACCTGAAGACCTGTTTTTCGGGGCTCGAGAGGAGGACCAGTCTCCCCCGCCGCCCACCGTTTTTAGCGCGTCGAGGAATGCGTGGCAGCCACCGGGGACTCGCACTCCCGCTTCGATAAGCTGAAGAGGTCTCCTGCTGGCGAGCTGTACGTCTTTCGCACAAACGGCCCGCGCACCTGTCCTTACGGGGCGCAACACAGTGGTAAAAACAACTTCTGCGTCTTGTTGCGCGGGACCGACCTCCTCTATCACTGCAACAGCCCCGAGTGCTGCAATGTACACCCTCGGCGAAAGATCGGGGAGCTCACGCTGCGCGATAGCATGCTGGGGGGAGAGACGGCCCCTGTCGCGGCCGAAGACCCCACCGTGTACAAGATGCTGACCAAATCTTTTCGTGGACGCCTGGGCGTTTGACAAGGACAAGGGCGGTAGTCGAATCGCAGCCCAGATGTACTCAAAGTGCCGGAGGTGAGGAGCCTTGCAGCGAGAGCGTTCAAAGTGAAGTGATCTGCACATCGTCTCTCTTGTGGACAGGTCTCCCCTTGGTCGGCCTCGGTTGCTTACCTAGAAGCTATCTCTGTCTTTGCTTCTGGAATTTTTCCGTGTTGTGGGGCGCCAAGTCTAGCAATCTGATTACTTCCAGAAGCACGAGCATCAGTACCACTGAAGCCCCACCAATCAAAGGATGCGGTCCATGTTTTGAGGTGCTAGCAATCTGGCATGCATTCTCGTCTCCACGGACCCATGGGCAACTTTACTACTCTTTTCTTGAAGGCTCTGGCACGACGGAAAGGAGTGGTGGATGTGGGAGGGAAAGCGCTTTCAAACGGCGAGCCAGGCTCGCGTGCGCTACATCATCATGCATCAGCTGAGCACCGTGTACAAACGAGTGAGAGTCGAGCTGAGCGAAGAGTTGGCGGGAACCACCAATAAGGAGAGGGCTGCAGAGCTTGAGGCTCTTCTCAGGAACCTCAAGTCCTACAATTGCTCGCATGAGGTCGATTCGACCCTGAAGATCATGGAGGGAGAGATGTACTTGTGCCTGGCTAGCGAGCTGGACGGCGATCCCGACATCCTCAACGTCCGGAATGGAGTGATCGACCTGCGCACCGGTCAGCTCGACGTCCACAGGCCAGCGTATGGCTGCACGATGATAGCGGATGTAGACTACAAGGTGAGGATGCATTCATCGATTCCACTTGGAGTGGCTTCTGTTTGTACGGCAGTGGGGCCCGGCTAAGCTTTTCTGTGATGAGAGCGCTCGGCATCGGCATACGCAGAGGGCCACTTTGCAAGCTTCCTTCTCAGCGTCTTCCGCTCAGATACTATCGCATGATCAGCATTGAGAAGAAATGTTGTCCTTGCAACTTGTGGCGTCAAAGATGGAGTGTATCTAAAGCTTCGATGCAGATCTTGGGCGAGGCATTGGTTCGCCCAGATTGACGTTTCAGCTTGAGACGCAAGAGCAGAGAGAGAGAGAGAACAATTGGACTCATCCAGACCTTCCTCCTTTTTCCCTGAAGGGACTGGACCACCCGTCTCCCACTGTCGACAACTTTCTGAACGACATCTTCAACGAAGATCGGGCCCTCATCTACTTCATGCAGCGACTCTGGGGATACTCTATCAATGGGAGAACGACGGCGGAGCTCATGGTGTTTCTCCTTGGAATTGGCGGTAAGTTGAAAAGATCTTTTGCACCTCAAGTCGGTGGCACGCAGCAGTCCATAGACGGCGCATATACCACCGCGTCCAAGGTGTCCAAGCTTTTTGTAGGCCTTTTTCAAGCGCCAATCTGGTGACGTCAGCCGCTGTCAAAAACGCATAGCCTTATAGAGTTGAAGTTTGTCTGGTCTGACTGGGCAGTTAAATCGATCTTAGGTTGGGCAGACGAGACACTCTCCACAGAGCCTGTTCAGAACAGTCAAGTATTCCTGAACTTTCCCTGGCTTGCAAAGCTCGTTTGAGATGTGATACTCAACAAGGGTCTGATGGCAAGCAGCCTCTGTCAAACGACAATCCTCGGCTTCGAAAGCCCACAGTTGAATCTCTTGACCGTAGTAGGTCACGTAACGGCTCTGGAGATCCGGAAGGGTACCCTTCCATGAGCCTATTTTGACCACTTGCACAGTGGGGGAGGTTACAAGATACACAGATCCTCTGAGGCTCTCTGCTTGTTCTGCTTGCTCTCTGCTCTTGACAAACGTGGCCTCGTCCCAGAGCAGGCATCTGAGGGATGGCAGGTTCTGAGATATTTCTGCCGGCCGGCCGGAGTGCTCACAGCAAGCTCCGGCCGGCATGCAAAACAGACGGTACTAAGTCCTGAATTGGAACGCGTCTGAGGTGTCCAAGCTTTTGTACGACTTTTCTGTGCACCTTCTGATCACGTCAGCAGCTGTCAATGGAGCTTGAGGACTGTACCCAAGTTTCTCTGACGGCTTTTGAATGATGTCAGCATGGGTCAGATTGCAAGAACACAACCGAGTCTAAGCTTCTAAGGATATGAATCTCCATCAGGCAACGGAAAAGGAGTCTGCAAGCAGATGTTGGAGGCCACGCTGGGCGACTACTATGGTGTGATGGCCAAGGACGCCGTGGTGAAGAGCCCCGGACAACGCCCTCCCTCCAAAGGGGGCGCGACGGGGTACCTGGCCGAGCTGCGCGGCTTGCGAGTCGCTATAACCGATGAGACCAGCCCCGGCGAGCGCGTCGATTTGGGATTGGTCTTGCTGATGACCGGGGGCGGCAAAGTTACAGCGCGATTGCTCTACAAGAACAACGTCGCCTTCCGCTGCTCTCACACGCCCTTCAACCAGACGAACTACGATCCGGAGATCCCACTGACGCTCGCGAAACAGAACAACATCGATCGGCGTCTGATCGTGGTTCGGTTTCCGAACGAGTACGTGACGGAGAATAAATTCGATGCATCCAACCCCAGCCACAGGCTAGTAGATTCCGGGCTGAAGGATCGGATGGAGACGATGGTGGTCCGAGAAGAGTTCCTCTCATTCTTGGTGAGGGGGAGCGTCGCTTGGTACGAGAACCCGGACGTCTTGAAGACCCATCCTCCTGCCGTTCAAGCGGCGAGGAACGCATGGTTGCAAAAAGGGGACAAGCTGCAGGTATTCTTGCGGGAGCACTGCGTCATGGATCCCAACGAGACCGCCGAGAGAGATCTGTCGGTGGTTTGGGAGGAGGAGTTTTGGGTACGATTCCAGGTGTATGCCGGTATGAAGATCCCCAAGGAGGAATTGGCTAGGCAGATGGGAGAGAAGGGGTATCCTAGAAGGAAGCGGCGCTCTGAGACGGGCAATCCGGATTCAGGAAGAGCTCTTTGCTATTTGGGCTTCAAATGCGAATACTAGGCGGTTGGATGAGCCACGGTTGTTTTATTTGGTTGTCAAGACCCGCGAGCCTGCACCGTAAACAACAAGTTATTGCGACCTTGCATGTTATTGCGCAACTAGGCTTGAGCACAATACTTATACGACTTTGCGCAGTCGAGCATGGGATGTGCCTTAGCCGTGTCGTGCATCGCGGTACTGTGCTGACGTCATCATTGCATGCCCACTGAGAATACTCTGCGTACAAGTTTGGACACTTCGGACATGCGCACATCTTTGGCCATGCTGACGTCATCATCCGCATGCCTCAGGAAAGTCCTCCAGAAATTTGGACACCTTGGACAAGTGCATTCTACTCCAATGGCTGGTTTGCTGACGTCATCATCTGCGTTTGCATTTTGTATTGGCGATCATATTCTCCGCCTTCAGCCTGCCTGCTTGTTACGAAGATTCAGTGTAACCGCGCTCCAAGCCGGTATCGAGCATCTGCTGCACTACATGCAATATTAAGTTCACTTGCTGCACTGAATATCCGCCCTCTTTGTATCCAATTCTTAGTGCGCAATTGAGGAAGGCCACGAGAGTGCTTAGTGTGGTCGTCTTTGATATGGGTTCCATAGCATGAACTAGGAGCATAAGTATACCTCTTCTCAGATTTGTATTGTGGATCGAATGATCTTGTAGACCTCTCTCGATCAACCGGATTGCACTATCCAACTGTGGGTTGAGTTGATCGACTTCAGCTAGAAGGTGCCGCATGTCATGATGCTCGTCAATCCGGACAGTACATAGACTAGTCGTCGGTTTGGCGAGACAAACGATATGTGCCATGGTCCCAATAATTCCTAGTAGTTACGAAAAAAAACTTGTGAAGAGGCGGTTTCATCGTTGCTTATCCAGTATGAAGGTGGGACTACTCTGAGTCGGATCCCGATTCTGAATCGTCGTCGGACTCGGCTTGCTTTGCCACCAGCTTCCTCTTGGTTTTTGATTTCATAGGACTGGATTTTTTGCTTGCCGTTGATTGTTCTGCCAGGCTGCGACTGGGCTTGACTTTTAATGGCTTCTGCAGATGTTCGAAGGCGGCCAAGGAGAGCTTAGTAGCTGTGGTCTGATAGCTGCCGGTGAAGCCCATATTGGCCGGTCGGTCACTCTTCTTAACACTAGAAATATACACAGTATATGCGAAATGTTTGTTAGCAGACCCTCGGGTGCATTCTCGGATCATTATGCTAAAGCTTATAGGCAGCGTCTGTCGTTTGCCCCGGCATCGCTGGGTACGATACAATTGCGACCCTGCCCTTGCACCCGCCTGACAAGGACGCCCTTTCTGAGCGTCAATCTCTAGCCGGGTATCTGCCAGCAACGGTAACACGTCGTCTCGCTTGTCATCGAGCGCGCCAATCACCTTGAATGAGCGTTTCATTGGATCCATAGTAGCCTAGTGCACTTGTTAATGATGGCGCAGGAAAAAAAAGAGCACCCCTAGTGCATCTGGTTTTGCACTAGGCCTGAGCATGGATCTCAATGTTCAACCAAGCCTGGCAAGCAGGGATCAGACGGTTAGAAACGCATGCGGGAGAGCTACTCAAAAAGTGACTCGTGGCATTTACGTTAGCAGTTACAAAGTCTAAAAAAGTCGACTTTTTTAAGGATAGTTGGGCCCCCGCCTGCACTTTATGAGAGGTTACCATAGGGGGTGGTTTCTTGTGACACTTTATTCTGACATTGCATGTTGAAATAACTCGTTCGCTTGGCTCGACATATTAAAAATTATCTCCGGCACTGTATTAGGAGCCCACATAAGTATGGATCAAATTCGTGAAGCGCTTTCTGATGGTATTAGGGGCGAAAGTTCCGTCAACTAGTACTGCAATGGGATTGGCCTCTTATGGAAGATATGCTTCGAGGACGATATAGCCAGCCGACCTCTCCTGGCTAAAGACAAAGGCGCGCAGAATTACGGATGCTGTGCTCGAACGGTATGATAATCCAGGCAGTCGGCGAACTCGTCTGGCGCCTTTTCTTGCGGTTTGTTGTAAGTTAGGCTTCTCGGAAGCCTATTCGATCTACTACGAACCATTTAGGAAGCAAATTACGTCCCTAAAGGCGTTGCGGACCGAGCGAGAAAAAACTTCGACCGTTGAAGATCCAGCTAATATGAGTAGTGATGAAATGGAGCACTATGCAAAGAAGGTGTCACGGAGGGTTGAAAAATGAGTCTCGATGGACACGAATTGACCTCAAAGGACTTGAAGATCGTGATGATACACGTTATCCTTGAATGGAACTTGCTCCTAGCTTGAGAGCATCTACCACGTGTAAAACTATACGGTGAGAGTGCTCTTCCCATCTTGTCTAAGAGGCAACACCGGAAGGACAAGGAAGATAGAGCCGTTACTCTCGTGCAAACCTCTCGTTGCAAAGGACAGTACAAGCTCGTATATGACAACGGTGAAGAATACCAGCTTTCAAAGATGTTGTGCAAGTACATTCACAGAACACTAGAATTGGTTCCGAGGGGATTTCTGGTAACCTCGATCAAGCATCCGGAGAGTCCGATGACGGCAAGTAACTATTCGATGTTTTGTAGCAAGATAGGCACGAATGGTAAGTTTCTCAATACTGGGAGCTTAAAGTAAAACGCGCTTCAATTCGAGAAATAAATTTCCTAGGAGGTATTAAGGGATTCAAGACTTGGACCATGGATGGTGAGATGGAGAAGGAGATGCGCGCAATTTTGAAGAAGCAGAGTCCAGACAAGGTTCAACGTGGGGCTCCTCCAAATCGGGCAGATTCAACGGTAAATAACTACATACGAGACGTGCGGCACGTTTTTGTAAAGGGACCCTGGGGGGGGACGATCCATGACCTTGATTGGGTAAGTGATTTCAACGCCGTCAAGAAAGTGCTGAAGGGGCTGACGAATTCTCGAGATGGGAAACCCTTGAAAGATCTCACCAAGGGGAATTACGCAGCTCCCTTTGCAATCCTTGCGGCCCACTTGCATGATAACGAAGCGCACGCTGCATATTCTCGCTTCATACAGAAAATGAAACCCACACAGGAGGATCTGGACCAAACGGCTCAAAAAAAGACCCCAAAAGAAGTAGACAACTGGGTGAGTTGGTCCGAGCTGCTCGACAAGCGTAAAGAACTCGACCAACGCATCAACTCTGAGGTGGTGGCTAAATTTCGAGATGATCAGAAGTTAAATCGGCACGATAAACAGCTCGTGATGGATCATCTGATACTCTGTCTATACACAATGCCTCTTGGACCACTTCGAAACGAATATGCGCATTGTAAGTTCGTTTTGCAAGAGGAGGACGAAATCGAGATCAAGCCGGGTGACGAAAATCTCTGCGAGTTGAATGAAAATCCCGACCAATGCTTTTTCTACATCGCACGGCATAAGACCTTGGAGAAAGATGGAGTTCGAAAGCTTGAAATTCCTGAAAATCTTGTGAATGTGATACTCCGCTCTTTCAATCTCATTCCCAGGCAATATCTAATACTCAAGAGACACTATCTTGACTGGAAGGACGAATCGATAGCAAACTTTACCGTTGTCTTGAACGAGTTAGGACAGAGGCACTTCGGTAAGAATCTATCTTGCACATTGCTTCGACACATAAGTCATACTGAGGAGAGTCCTCGATTGCATTCACGCGGTGAGATGCGGGCAAAAGCGAAGTATATGGGGCATAGCATGAGGACAGCGGACGAGCTCTATAACAGACGATACGGGTGACAGCTTATGGTGCGCGTCACCTGTGCCCACAAATTTTCTCAGGCTTGAAACTAAGGGGCGTACCGCCATGTCGGGCATCCACAATCACTCGAGCTCTTCCTCGTGTCCAGCCTGCTTTGAATCGGCGAAGTACAAGGAGGAAGTTCAGGCAAAAGGCAGAAAATATGCCAGATCCTATTATCAACTGCATAAGGAGCGGATCTTGCTTAAGAAGGCCCTCGAACGGATAGAGAAGGGTGTTCGAGTAAGCAGATGTACTAGAGAGCGGTTAAATGAAGCTAACATTCACTCGCTGATCAAGGCGTAGAAGCGCTCATCGGAGTGAAAGCCATTCATAAGGACTGGACCACTTGGTGAATGATGCAGAAGTGCATGCAATCAATACATGCAACTTTTGAAGCACATGAAAGCTTGTGCTTCAAGGCGGCAATCGTGAGGCCATTCGTAGTGCGTTTGTCAATGTCTATTTTTTTCTCGACTTGAAAACAATAGGAGGCGAGCGGATTTGGGACCATGGAATCCACAAAGCTGATTGGCGCTTTGGAGGAGTACGCACAAGAGGGTCTCTATGCTATACCAGCAAAGGCATCCCTTTGGAAAGACGGCACCAAAAAGGTGCTTGGGACCATGCCGCATACCAACGGAGACTCAGCTATACGGTCTGGCTCCGATTGGAGTGCTTCTAGGGCAAGAATTCTTGAACACATTGAAACGAGAGGATACAACTTTCTTGCAATCAAAACCGGTGCTATATCCGATTGCTTCGTCCTAGATGTAGACGTGAAGGACAAACAAGATGAGGATATCTTAGCTGGAATGCCCTATTGGCAAAGCTTGATCGAGGAGCACGGTGAGCCCGACACTTTGAGAGCAACCACTGCCAGTGGGGGCCTCCATTACTACTTCTCGTTTAGTAGCACAATCAAAGAAGGGCTTGAATCCGGCAAGAATTTCGTGGGGCTGGATGTTGACGGTCAGGTCTACGGCATTGATGGTCGCGGTGAGGGGGGAATAGCATTCGCTCCACCAAGCACTCTTGGTGAAGGCAGGGAATATCGATGGAACATGCCGCCTAAACGGACCAATATCAAGGCCGCACCTACGTGGGTTGTCGACCTTGTCAATGCGTCTGCCATAAGAGCTGGTCACACTGGAAGATCGAACGCAACCACTCGAAGCGGGATCCAAGCAGTGCATTATCCAGAACCCACTAAGCACCATGATATCGAGACCTTCGCAGATGATGGAGACCTGAACGAGGAATCTTTGGACACTCAAGAGGCTGAAGCGCGTGAACACAAGATTGCTGCTGCAATGATGAAGCTGCTAAGAGATGCTGGGTTAGATGAGAACGTTAGCTTCTCGGGGAAGGTTTCCTTTCGTGGCCCTCTTGGTTCGATTTACTCCTTCACCTGCAGGGGGCCTCGGCGGTGTATTCACGGCCACCGCCACAACGGCTCAAACAACTTTCGACTCATCAAACGGGGATGGGTCGTGCTTTACCGTTGTTTTGGCGTAGACTGCTCGGAAAAGCCGCTCGAAGAGTTGGGCAATCTCAGCCTTGCCGACTCACTGCTTGATGCGAATCCCACAAAATTGCACCCAACTTTCGACCGTTCCGTCTTCCCAGACAATTGCAAGGCCATATCACAAGACGAATGCGAGTCTTATTTGAAGCTCATCAGACGCAACGTGATGCACCGCTATCGGGGTCTTGCAGAAATCTTCAGCGCCATATATGCCGTTGATGGACGTATCCTTGCTGAGGGGAAGACTCTCCGGTATTGGAACGGACGAAGGTGGCTACTTGATGGTTCCTTCCACGTGCAATCCGTCTTCTCGAGCCACATCGCAAGGATTCTGCGCTGGTACGAGAATCAGAGACTGGCAGCCTTTAAAAGGGAGATCTATAAGCTCGCAAAGGAGTCGGAAGAGTGGGGTTGCATACCGGAGGGATCCGAATATACGCTTCCGGAGTGGGCAACTCATCCGAAGAGCGAACAAGAAAAGGAAGCCTGCCGCCGGGCGTGGAAGGCAGTCGCAACCACTTTGCCATACCCCCCGCAAAAAGATCTACCGGATCTGACGCGTTGTTCTGAAGTGCGCATCTGCCTTGAGTACGTCGTCAATTCGTTGCAAATCCAAGAGGATCTTAACGCCCTGATGGACCTCGCCAACCCTTTTCTGTTTGCATGTGCTAATGGGGTGATTGACACAACGACCGGACAGCTGCTCGCACCCCATCCGGCCCAATTGTGCTCGCGAGCTTCGAAGGTAGCCTTCCGTGGTATGCCAAGAAGCGAATCTCGATTTGCCAGGTTCTTGCTGGATTGCTTCAACGGCAACAGACAAGTGCTCGACTGGTATCAACTCTACCTCGGGTACTGCATGACTGCTGACACAAGCGAGCAGATCTTTTTGGTCAAACAGGGGGAAGGATCGAACGGAAAAACACTGACAAAGATTGCTTCGTTTGAGATCTTTGGGTCCTACGCAGTGGTCATGGACCGAGACGTAATCATCGAGGCCGGCGGCCGACGCAGTGCGGGGTCTGCATCATCTCACCTCATGGCCTTAAAGGGGGCTAGATTGGCGGAATCAGACGAATCAGGCGAGAAATCCGTTCTTAACGAATCGACCATAAAACAGTTGTCCGGAGGAGGCTCGATCACGGCACGAGAGCTCCAAGGTAGGCAAGAGAATTTCATGGTGACCCACAAGGCAATTCTAAACACGAACTACAAGCCGGTCATGGAGAACGCATCATTCAGTCTTATTCGCCGTATGGCCCTTCTTCCGATGATGGTCACCTTTACGTCTGCCGAGAGTCTGAATCCAAACAAATCAAGAGAAAAGGCGAGAGACTCCACTCTCGAAGCATACCTCAAGTCTGATGAAGGCCGAGAGGACGGGCTATCATGGATTGCAGCAGGAGCGAGCCGCTACTTCGAAATCAAACGGGCAAAGCCAAGCGCCTTGGTTCTCGAGAAACGGCCAAAGGCTATGGAAGACGCACTAAAAGCTTACGTGAATGACGCTGACGTTGCTAAACGTTTCATTGAAGATTGCTTGGAGTTCGAAGAGCTGCATCCCGGACAACGGGCAACCTGGCCTTTGGCGGGGGGTGAGCGCTTGCAAGAAGCCTTTCAGACATGGATCAAAGAAGAAGACGTGTCTAGCTCCATCACCGCAACAGCTCTCAAGAAACGAGTCGTGCTGTATGCCGATGGCGGCAACCATCAAGTTGCGGACGGTCGCTTCACTGACAAGAAGGTCCAATTAAGGGGTCAATTCAAAGGCCTCAGTGGTGTGCGTCTAAGGCCTGAATACCTCGACAGCATTTCACTGGTGTGACCGGAGAGACGGGCCAACAGACTTGCAAGACGCTGGGCAGCGATCTGTGGGCGGCGGACCGCAT